GTCCCATGGGGGGCCCCCCCCCCCTCCCGTAGCGGGGCCGGGTGCCTGCGACACAACGTCTGCTCCTTGCAGACGGTTCGCGGCTCCGCATCCCGGCGTCGCCTTCCCCGCTGCCACCAGCCAGCCCTCCCGGTTTAAACGGCCGCCATCCAGCCCCGGTGCTTGGCTTGCCGGTGCTGCGGGCACAGAGGACGCCTGGCTGGCCCCACGGGGCTCTTCTCCTCTGCGGTGGCACATCTCGCAGGGGGTTTTGGCAGCGGCCCCGGGCTGTCGGCACAACCGGCTTTGCCCGTTCCCCTTCCCGTGGGGGCGATTCGGCCGGCGTGCCCGTTGGGTGGCACGGCGCGGGCCTCTTGCCGGTACGCGCTTGTGCCAGAGCCAAAAATAGCCGGTGATGCTCGGCTCCCGTGGCGGGGAAGCGGTGATGTCACTCGCCGCCAATCACCGGCAGCCCCGAGGAGCGGAGCGGAGGAGTGGGAACGTGCTTCCCCGAGCATCCCCCCCGGAGCAGGCGGTGGCCGCTTGGTGCCAGGAAAAATGAGGGGGCCCCTTCCTTGATGGGAAGGGAGATGTGGGGCTGAACCCTGCGCCTGCAGTTTTGGGGACCTCCCTTTGGCTCCCCCCCCCAGCCTTGGGTTTCCCTCTCCCTTTCTGAAAGCCGTGCTGAGGATGCAGCTTTGCTGCTGATGGCGAGAGCAGGATGACGACAGGCTGCAGCTGAGCAGGGAGGCACGGCCGGGGTGGAGCGGTGCCTTCATTTGAGGCTGAGACCAAAGCCCTGTTTAATTACCCCAGCCGGCAGGGTGCCAGACTCGATGCACAGGTTGCAGCTGGGTTTCAGGCCCGGAGCTCTCGGGGATGCCCGAGGACGGGTGGGCTTGGCTTGGAGCATCGCTGCTCTGGTGGCTCTGCCCGCCCTGGGGCAGCTCCTGTGGGAAAGCTGGATCTGCGGGTCGGTGGTCCCTGCGTGCTCGGTCCCACTCCCTGGAGGATGCAGGGGCGCAAGCGGGGCTGCAAAAGCAGCCTTTTCCCCGCCGCAGGGATGCGGGGCAGCTCTGACGGAGCTGCTAGGTGGGGAGCAGCGCTAGGCGTGCTCCAGGCACCCCCTCTGCTGAGAACAGGGGGTCCCCGAAACCCCTGTGGGGTCACTGGGCACTACCCTCGCCCCCATGCAGGGGGTGGGAAGCCATCCCAGAGCAGCAGGTACTTGAAGGTCACTCTCCTGAGTCCTGTAGCGGCTTGGGGTAGCCCTGGAGCTGGGTGGAGGGGCTTGGGGACCCCCCCCCGGGTTTCAGGGTGGGGGAGACCCATCCCTGGGGTGGTACCCTTGGCAGAGCCACGTGGCCGGGGACGGGCATCATCTCCACTACGGCCCTCTCGGGAGTCCCAGTCCTCCGGCTAACGCCAGTGCCGGGGTCCAGGGATGGGATCAGCCACAGTTTCTTCCTTCGCCCCCTCGCAGGTGCCCTCGGCTCGAGGGAGGAGCCCGAGTTCGTGACCGCTCGCGCTGGCGAGAGCGTGATCCTGGGATGCGACGTGATCCACCCGCTCACGGGGCAGCCCCCTCCCTATGTCGTGGAGTGGTTCAAGTTCGGCGTCCCCATACCCATCTTCATCAAGTTTGGGTTTTACCCTCCCCATGTCGACCCGGAGTATGCCGGTGAGTCCGGGGGGCATGGGTGGGTACGAGGGGGACGTGCCGGGTCCCGGTCGCGGCGCAGCCTGGGATGCGCAGCTCCGCTCCATCCGCTCCTCCGTCGGAAACTGTGCAGGGCTCTGCCTCTCGTTGCTCGCTTTCCACCCAGTTGGTTTTAATTAAGCAGCAGTTCTAGGAAGCCAGCTGGGCTGCGTGGGACGGGAGCAAGCAAGGCAGAGAAACCCAGGGTGATGCGTGGTGGCGGCGGCTGCCGCTGCTGCCGCTGCACCCCAGAGCAGCTGTGAGCCTGAGAGGGGGGGATGCTGGGATGCTGGGGGGACAGTGGGGATGGAGCCAGGGCCACGTGCTGGGCGGAGGTGGCAAGTTGGAGCTGCGGAGGCCATGTGGCAGCTCGCCAACGTGCCACCTGCCCCACGTGGCCGGTGGCTTCTGGTGGGGTGTCTGGGCTGGGGACCAGCCCCGAGTGGAGGAGTGCGAGTGGTGTGGTGGGACAGACCTGTTTCCATATGCCATTCCCTAGGGAGCACCGTCCTGAGGACCTTCCCTGGGTCTTGCTTCCAGGCTCTGTGGGGCTTCCTCCACCGAAATTGCTCCCCTGGGAAATCCTGCAGCAGGGAGGATGCCAGCACCTGAGCCTGGGCTGAGCCCTGCCAAACTCAGCTCATGCTTGGGCAACGCTGGAGCCCAGTGGCCGCCGGGCTGGGGTGCGCGTTCGGGCTGCTTTGCTGCCAGCCCCAGTTTCCCAGACTATGCACGGGGTCAGCCCGGGGTCACCCTGCTTTTTGGGAGGCTCCCAGGCCGGGGATAAGCTTTGGGGCACGCCTGCTTGCCGGCCGTACCACCGCCAGCCCCTGGATGGGAGCAGAAGGCCGGCATCGCTGCGGGCAGCCGCCGCTCGAGGCACCTTGCCTGCCCACCGCAGCTTGCTCTGCCCTCCCCAGATGGGCGAACGCGTCGCCGGCCGGCTGCGACCAGCCCCAAAAGCGGGGATGGTGGGATGCTGCCCGGTCCCAAAGGTGCTGCAGCCGCTCGGTGCCTGCACCGGGCTGGGGCATCCCTTGCAGCGATGCTCTGGGGGGACCGGTCTGGTTCTGGTGGTGGTGGTGGTGGTGGGGTCATCGCGCCGGGCCGGGGGCTGCCGAGCCGACGGCTGTGCTCTCCCCGCAGGCCGGGCCAGCCTGCACGACAAAGCCTCCCTGCGCATTGAGCAGGTCCGCTCCGAGGACCAGGGCTGGTACGAGTGCAAAGTGCTCATGCTGGACCAGCAGTACGACACCTTCCACAACGGCAGCTGGGTCCACCTCACGGTCAACGGTGAGCCGAGCGCGGCGGGGGGGGCTCGCGGCATCGCCGTGGGGTCGCGTCTGGTGCCGAGACGGGTTTCCCTTTGATTTCGGATGGACGCCGGTCCTCGGCGGGATCTGCGCCTTGCAGACGAGCGAGCCTGAAGCCATCCAGGCTGGCCGCTCCAGCCGGGGCGTGACTTAAAAAGGGACAAACTTTTATTAGGGATTGCGCAGTTTTAATTACGCGGAGCTTGTTTGAAGGAGAGACATCAAGAAATGGGGCTGGGAACGAGTGTCCTCTTAACAAACAGATCAGAAAATCAAATCTTTGTTTTCTTGAAATTCAGATTTACTCAAATTACTTTTTCATTTTATTAAGGCTGCATATTAAACTAATTAGCAAACTGTCGTTCTCCACACCAGGAGAGGTCTTTATTTTTAGCCCAGCAGCAGGGCTGTGCCTCTCCCGCTGCAGCGGGGCGGTTGGAGAAGAGATGTGGGCACCGGCAGCTCCTCGCTGGTCTTGCCTGACCTTGAGCAATTAATTTAACCTTTCCTGGGGACGGCTGGGCTGCGGCACAGAGCAGAGCCACCTAATTGAGCCCAATTAGCGAGCGGAAGCTTTGCAAGCAGGGCTGTGCGGCACACCAGCCCCATCCCTGCCTGCCACCCTGCCTTGCCGCTGCCTCCTTTCCCCCTGCCTGCTAACGAGCTCGGAGGGCTTGGGAAGGAGGGAGAGGGAAGCGAGAGGATGAGGAGGAGGATGGTGCCCGTTTCACTTCCACGGTGCGCATGGATCCTGCAAACTGCTGGCCCGAGGGGCTGGAAGTGGCCATTGGTGCCCCAGGTGCCCTGTCCCTCCCCAGGCTCGACCCCCTGTGCAAAATGGGGCGCTTTTGAGGTTTTAAAGCGGCACGGGGCACGCAGGGGCTTAATAACAAAATAATAACTGTAATCCTCCCGGTCCGAGGAATTGCTTTCAGGGGGAAGGCTGTGGCTTTCCCCCGGCTCATTACAATGCTTAATTTTCTTAGGGGAAAATAAAAATCATTTGGGGAGAAACAAAATATAATTCTTTTTTTCCCCGAGCAGATTAAATTGCCAACCTGTCTTCCTCGAAAGTGGGCTTTAACAACTGCTGGTAATTAGGGGCGGGCTGTAATCCTGCCAGCCTCTTTAATCAGGAGGGAGCCTTTCGATCTGCACTGCGGTGTTTTCCCGTGTTTTGACAATAGCAAGTTAATGTGCAATGGGGGGGACGACGTGGTGCTGTGCCCTGCAGCTGGCAGGGGGGAGAGGGGACAGGGCTGGGGTGCGATGTGGCCCGGAGGGGACGTCCTCGGTGGGTGTCCCTGGGGACAGCCCCCCCCGTGACAGCTGCTGTCGTCCCCCTCCCTGCAACCCCATTTGCCTTTGGGGTGATCCCAGCCCTGCTGCGGGGATGTGCGGCGTGTCCCCCATTTCCAGGCAGCAGCCCCCCCTCTCTGTCCCCCTGCCCACCCCCCCTTGAGACCCACAGCAGCCAGGTGTGAAACGGGGGGGGTCACCACGGGCTCCCCCCCTTGCCCCACAGCTCCCCCCACTTTCACGGAGACGCCGCCGCAGTACGTAGAAGCGAAGGAAGGCAGCAGTGTCACCTTGACCTGCATGGCGTTCGGGAACCCCAAGCCCATCGTCACCTGGCTGAAAGAGGGAGAACTTTTGGGTGCCAATGGCAAGTACCAGGTAGGTGGGCAGCAGGGGGCTGCCGCGGGGGGCTCCCGGGCTCCCCGCCGGCGGGGACGGTATCGATGGGACCACGGCGGCGGCAGCTCTGCCGTGCCTGGAGCCGGCTGTGCTTTCTCAGCACTTCTTGCTGAGATGCCCATTCCTCCCCACCCCCCATCCATCTCGGCTGAGCAGCAGCCTCTAATGCTGCCTGCCCTTGGGTGGGGGCTGGACACCCCCCCCACCACCACCATTTAGGGCACCCGAGCTGCTCCCTGGGAATGCTTTTCCTCTGGCCAGGCGCTGTGCTGGGTCCCAGAGATGGGGTGGGGGCTGTAGACTGGAGAATGGGATGGGTGCTGCGGGGCTGGGGCAGCGAGAGGTTTGGGCAAGGAGGATTTTTCCCATCCCCCCCCTCAGGACCCTTTTTGCATCCCAGAGTCTCCCGGGCAGAGATTCCCCCCTGAGCTGTAATTGGTAAATCAGGCATTGGAATCAGCGCAGGCACTAATGAGAGTAATTAGGAATCATTTGTTACTAATTGAAATAGAAGGATGAGGCAGAATGAGGTGGGGGGGGTGGGAAGCCTGGCTGGGAGCAGGGCTCCCTGTGCGTGGGGGGGCTGCTACCTGGGGCGTGACTGTCCCTCGCCTGTCCTTCCTTGGCTGTGTCCCCGGGGAGGAATTTGGCCGCTCCTCTTGCAGCTGCGAGGTGGCCCCACGGGGAGGACGGCGACCGAGCCGGGGTCTCCCCCTGGTACCCCCACCCCAGGGGTGGAGGGGGTCCCTCAGGAGCAGGGGATGCTCCGGCGAGGCATCCCGCTCCTTGTGAAGCGCTGATGGTGCCAGGGTGCTCGGCAGAAGCGCTTTGGAGTCTGCCGCCTGCCAGTCACTTCTGCGGGAGATGAATATGTTGTGAGGGTTATTTATTTATTTTATTATTTTTTTTTCCCTTCCCCTTGGCGTCGAGCAGAAACGCGTGTGTTGGTTTATTAATATCCAAAGTCTTGCAGAGCGGGGAAACCCGTTTCTCATCGGGCCCTAAAAGCGCTGGCAGCTCTCCGCTGTGGGAAAAGCCGATGGAGGGAGGGTGCTGAGCTGGGGCTAGGGTTCACGCCCCTGGCCCTGGGGTCCCTGCCCGCGCTCCAGGGTCTTCCCTTGTCATTCCCAGGTGAGCGACGGGAGCCTGACGGTGCTCTCCGTCAGCCGGGAGGACAGGGGTGCCTACACCTGCCGGGCGTACAGCATCCAGGGAGAGGCTGTGCACACCACGCGCCTGCTCGTTCAAGGTGAGATCTTCCACCCGAGCCCCTCCGGCTCATCCTCAGCCGCTGGCAACCCCAGGAGGCTGGGAGTGGGCTCCGTGGGGGGAACTCGGTGGGCTGCGGTGCCACCCTGAAGGGACCCGCAAGCCTTGCGGGCTCGACGTCGTGCCGGCTGCCCTGTGGCTTTGCATCCCGTTTGTAGGACGGAGGAATCCACTTAATTGGGGCAACCGCGGTGGCCGTGCCGATGAACATCTGGGCCCCGGTGGCAGCTTGGTTTTGTTCGGGAAGCGGGGAAAAGATTGAGGCTGTCACAAAGCGCCTTGTCAGATAGCGGTGATGTATGGCAGGCCTCCCGCTCCTCGCTCCCTCTTTTATTAAATAAATCTTTAATTAGGTCAACAGCTACTGGCAGAGAGAGGAGCGTGGGGTGTCATCTGCTCCGCTTTCACCATGTCGGCGAGCTGCGGACGCTCGCTGCCCGCTCCCGGCAGTTTGCTGTTTTCCCCCTGCGTTTTTCCCTGCGGGTGATGTGGTCCTGGAGATGTGCTCGGGATGAAGGGAGGTGTGAGCTCGTGCCCTGGGAGCAGCAGTGCCGTGCGCCATGGGCTCCCTCCCCAAAGCTGCAGAGATTAGGGGAAAGGGTTGGGAATAACAGAGCCACCGTGCCCCTCGAGGTCAGCCCCTGCACCCTGTGGTCCTGGGGGATCGGGGCCAGCTCTACCCCAGATTCCTCCAGCAGCTCCCAGCCAATGATGCTGCGATGGAGCTGAGCCCGAGCAACCTTTGTGGGGACGCCTGTGCTGGTGGGGGTGACGTTTTTCTCTCCCCCCTGCCCCAGGACCTCCCTTCATCGTTTCCCCTCCGGAGAACATCACGGTCAACATCTCCCAGGATGCGCTCTTCACCTGCCAGGCCGAGGCGTACCCCGGGAACCTCACCTACCTGTGGTACTGGGAGGAGGAGAACGTCTACTTCAAGAAGTGAGTTTGCAGCTGGCGTGTCCTCCTCCTGCTCCCAGATTGTCCTGGGACCACCAATGGGGTGGGCATTGTCCCCCCGGGTCTCCCCATGATCCTTCTCCCCTCTTCTCTTGCAGCGACCTGAAGTTGAGGGTGCGGATCCTGATCGATGGGACACTGATCATTTTCCGTGTCAAGCCAGAGGATGCTGGAAAATACACCTGTATCCCCAGCAACAGCCTGGGCCGCTCGCCATCAGCCTCTGCCTACCTGACGGTGCAGTGTGAGTGCGGGCAGCGGGGCCTGATCCTGAGGGGTGGGGCCGGGATTGATAATTCCCGGCTCTGAGGCAGCCCCAGAGGCTCTGTCATCCCGGTACGATGCTAGGCGGCTCGGGTTGACGTGGCAGCAGCCTTTGGATGAGCATGCAATCATCCTCAGCAAAAGGCTGAGAGCATCCCACGTGTGCTTGTAAGGGTGCGGGCAACAAGCAAGCAAGTAGCCTGAGCATCCTGGGTACCACCGCTCGGCTGGGACCGGCGTCCACCTTTGATACAAGTGCATTTTGACTAGGTGGGCATCTTCCCACCGCTGCTGTTGGCATGCTGTCTTCATCATTGTGTTGGGCAGGGAAACATGGGATCAGGGCTCTTGCTCTCAACTGCCTACTCATATTTTTTGGTGTTTATTATGGGGGCTTGTTCCCGCGGCGTGGTTTTTCTGTGAGCTCGGTAGCTTTGCATGTCATATTTTTCAGGCGGTAACTGATCTAAACAAGCCGAGGAGAAGGGGCTGTAGCAGGAACGTTGCTTCCCACGCTTGTTCTCTCTGGCTCCCCAGGCGGTAATGGGTAGTGTGCCACCGGCGTCCTGTGGCATTCGACAGTAATGGCCTCAATTGCTGCCGCTCGCAATTGCAATATTGCTCTGCTGTAAAAGACTGCAATGGTTTTATTTTATAATGAAAGACAGGCTTGTGCAAAGCGGCCTCGCGACTTGCGTTTTGAAGGCCGCCTTAGAGCTGCCGCCTGTAGACCCAGCGCTGGTTAGTGGGAAGCCCCACGCTGGCAGGGAACTGCTATGAGAAGGGCTGGTAGGTCCCGTCGTTTCCCTGTGGGATGAAGGGGCAGGGGGATGGTGCGACTGGTGCCATGCCCAGGCAGAGGCGTGATTTGGGGCTTGGATGCGCCCGGCTGGGCAGCTCTTGGGAAAACATGCAGCCTCAGGCCATTAAATCTGCCCTGCCGCTAATCCAGGACCACTCGTCAAGGCTGATAGCTGTTAAAAATAGCTCTAATGGCAGGAAAACTGGCGTTTGGACAATCTGCCGGTCAGACGGCCCTGCGAGGCTTTGGTGCAAGGAGGTGTGCTTGGCTTTTTGTGCTGCGAACCCCTTTCCTCCGGAGCAAACCTTCTCATTTGTAGGGGGGCCGATGCCTCGGGAGGGAGGCTTCCCACCCACCGAAGCAGCTGTCGGATGGGGACACGGCTCTGGGTCATTAGTGAGCCGGGCTGGCCCCCAGCCAGTGACCTAGTAGTGAAAGGCTCGATCCCATTACCCTCTCCCACGCCGTCAGAGCCCTTGATTACATTTCCTAAGAGGTGGAGTTAAGCAGAGAGGGGGGGGTAAAGCCTGCTCCATATGCAGTGCTTGGCAATCTGGGTTATGGTGCCATTGCCGGGGGCGGATGGTTTCAGGGAGCAGTTGGGGTTATGTGTTTCGGCAAGGAGGGAGCAGAGCTCCCAAACTCGGTAGCTTTTGCCCGCAAAAAAGCAATAAGGAGAGGGTACCCCCCCATCCTCCATCCCTTCCTTCAAAACAGCTTACCTGTAACCCCAGCTTTGCGTTTTTGCATCAGCAGCACAGGGAAGCTGCTCCCCCCAAAAAATGCATTCATCCCTTAATGCAGCGTAAGCCCCATCAGGATTTTCCCATAACCTCACGCTGCCGGTGTCTAGACAAGATTGTAGAAATACTCGCTCTTCTTATTAAAAGTAACTTTTTTTAAAAAAGCTTCTTATTAAAGAAAGTCTAGATTCTCTCCAACCCACTCACACTTAATTAAAAAGCTCTTAGAAGCACTGTTAATGACACATTCTAGACTGGAGGATTGTGAGACGCCTCTCTGTGTGGGTGGTGCAGCGCGGGGGGGGTTAGGTATGTATTTTAAGCTTTTTGCATCCTGTTGGAAAGGGTGGAGGTGTCTGATGCTCAACGCAACCCAGCCTCGATGAGGCACGAGCTGCGAGTACAAACAGGAGGTAAAGGCCTCATGGCAGCCTGGCCACGGATCCCTTCTCCCATCTCGTTGCTGCAGTTGGTGTGTTTTAAGGCTTGGGAGTTGAAATAGTTTTCACTGCTGCTGTGCAAAACCAGGCTGCGGGGCAGGCGGGCGGCTTGCAGGGTATGCACCGTACCTTGCACGTGTGCCGCAGGCTGAGTGTGATGGAGCAGCTTGGGCTTCAGCAGGACGCAAGTCGGTGGGGATGTTGGAGCAGGCGTACTTAATGTTTCTTCTTAAATGCAACTTTTAATGAGCCCCAGGTAGGAAAACCCTGGGCATGAGTAAAGCCTCCCAGAAACGCCAGGTATTACAGTGGATTTCTGTGTAGCAAGCCTAGAGATAACAGCCTGCAGGAGCCAGGGTGGTGTTTGTGTTTGGAATTCATTATAAAAGCGATGTAGATCCTCTGAAGCCAGGCGGTGGGGGAGAGACGGGCTCTTTCCTCATGCTAACGCGGTGCTGCTGTTCTCCCAGATCCTGCCCGCGTGGTGAACATGCCCCCCGTCATCTATGTTCCCATCGGGATACATGGATACATCCGCTGCCCGGTCGAGGCAGAGCCCCCGGTCACGCTGGTCAAGTGGAACAAAGACGGACGTCCCCTGCGAATCGAGAAGGTAACAAAGCCCCTGGGGAGGGATGCGTGGGGGCACAGAGGGGGTTCAGACCTTCGTGTCCTCTGCAAATGCCAGTGAGCACCACCGGGCACCCTGCGGGTCCAGCCTGCCGGTCAGGAGAGAGGCAGCCCCGTGGGTGGGATGATGCTGTGCTTCCTTATCAGCTGTGGGCAGAGTTAATTCGGGTTCTTGTCTGGAGCCCCGGGTGCCTGTAGGCACACTGTCTGCATCTCCCAGACCTAATGCCTGCTTCCCTCTAAAGTCACCTCCTGATGGCCCTGGTTTTTTTTTTTTCCCAATGGCAACTGATAGTTAAAAGACCCTTTTAACAAGTCTCTGTCTTCCTATAATCGTGGTTTGATAGTCTGAGCAAGGATATTAGCCATTAAATATTTAAAGAAAACGCTCAGTATTTTAAATTTTTGCTTAAATATTAATGATCCAAAGTTTTAATTCTGTTTAAACCTGTTGCTGCTGTGGGTTCCTGGTCCTTGGTGCCCTCAGCCCCTCGGGTGGAGTTGTCTCCTTGGTGCCACCAGGATGAGTTTTACTTAGGGCGTGATAGATTCTGATGTTAAATCTTTTGGGCTACTTGAAGAAGCCTGGCGGTGTGTAGGGAGGAGGGCAGCTGCAAGATAAACCTGCATGTCGTTGGGTGCATACAGAGCAGGGAAACCCTTCCCGGGAGGGCTGCGTTTGGACGGGCTGATCTTGCCCATGTTTCCTCTCTCTGCAGTTGAGGAGATGGCTTGGATGCTGGGAATTGAATTGGGCATCGTCCGGGGATGTGACAGCCGCCCTGGGCATAGGCGGGGGGCTTGGCTGAAGGGAGAATAATAAGCTGTGGTGGGTGCAGGATAAGTCAGCTCTCTCTTGCTCACTGCTGCAGTATTCTGGCTGGAACCTGCTGGAAGACGGGTCGATCCGGATAGAGGAGGCAACCGAAGATGCTCTCGGCACTTACACCTGTGTGCCTTATAACGCCCTGGGTACGATGGGCCAGTCTCCCCCTGCCCGACTGGTACTGAAGGTAACTTGCCTGCTTAAAATCCTTGCTCTGCAGCCGGCGTATTTGCCGTGAGTTGTGTTCTCTCGTGCCAAGAAGAGCACCCGTGGTTGTGCGGGGTGCTGGAGCCCCGGGCCAGGTGGCGTGAATGCATGCTTGTTTTGCGGCGGTATCTCACTCTGCACTTAGGCTTTTTTAACGTAGATTTTGCAACGCGTGTGTCGCTCGCTCTGCCTTCCTGTTCGGCACAGAGCTGCAGGGATGGATGAGGTGGTGGTTTTTTCTCTCCATGCTGCTTATTTGGTTGGTTGTTAATTCTGTGCAGAAATTCAGGTTTTACTTTGCTTTTCTGAGCCCTTCTCTATGAAGAGAGCTCAAGAAGGGCTCTGTGCCCCCAAACCTGTCCGCTTTTCTACCTACATTACTCACCTGAGCAAAAACCTGTCGCCTTTTCCTCTGAGCCTTGTCTCTTACCTGTGCTGAGAAAGGCAAATGCGGGCCCTCACGAGCATCCTTGAAGGGGAACAGCAGAGGCTCGAGCACGAAGGTGCATCTGTGCTGCGGGTGGAGATGTGCTTCCCACCAGGACAGGCAAACCCTGAGTGCACCCTGCCTGGCATATCTGGACATAACCTGCCGGAGCAGGGGCACGGGTTTTGGCATGGGCTGGGCCACAGCTGGTGTATGATAAGTATAAGGGCTTGGGTAGCGCTGGACCGGGGTAGGTTGAGGAAATATGTCCCTGGGATGGCCTTTTTGCCAACAAAATACAGCCCTGCTGACCTGGGCTTGGGTTCACGGAGGATTTTAATAAATGGATGATTTGAGCTCTAGAGATGCTCCGCGTGGTCTTGCTGCGTGCAGAGCCCGAGGCGTGCTGGGCTCCCAGTGCAGTTCCCGGTGTTGTTGGGGTGGGAGCGGCTGCCTCTTCCTTCCCTGAACAAAAAGTCCTGTGCTTGTGAGTGGCAGTGATTCATGGTGTGTCGCTAAGGTTGACGTGATAACGCTTTCTGTATCATACACACACCCGCTAAGGCGGCTGCGGAGTCGATGAAATCAGGTTGATGTCTGATGCGATGTGGGTAGTTTTTTTCCTGTTTACCTCCTTAAAAATGATGCCCTAGTGCAGCGGCTCTTCGAAGAAAATTTCCCTCCGGGTATATAATTTGGTGTACTGTAGAGCCTCTGTAGTGCATGCTCTCTGCTGCGGCTTTCCTTGCAATGTCTCCACTTTACCTGAACCGGTGGTTCATTTGTTTTGGAAAAGGACTGGGTTTGGTGGTGGGGAGCCGCTTGTGTGCGGTGGGAGTTGGCGTGGGTTGACGCTCCTTGCTTTTTCCCTCGGCTGCAGGACCCCCCCTATTTCACGGTGCTACCAGGCTGGGAGTACAGACAGGAGGCAGGGAGGGAGCTGTTGATTCCTTGCGCTGCTGCCGGAGACCCCTTTCCCATCATCGCCTGGAGAAAGGTACCCGGCCTGCCAGACAAATCTGCAGTGCCTTTGGCTTTTGGTGAATATTGCAGACAGAGAAGCCACACTCTGTCCCGGTAAGAACAAACTGCAGGTACAGCTGCTTCGCTTTGGGCTGAGCCACTGCCGTCCTGTCCCGCAGGTGGGTGGGGGAAGCCCGGCTTGTGGCCACCGAGTACTTTAATCCCGTGAAACCATCACGGCAGCATCTGCAAGGCTGAGCGCTGCCCCCACCCCGGCCCCCCTCCTCTTCCTCGCCAGCACTGCCCACAGGACGCCCTCCTCCTTGCCTGCCTGCGAGGTGGTCGCCGGCAAGTTGTGGCAGCCCCGGCGATGCCATTCTCGTGGTGCGGACATCCCGCAGCGGGAGGGGACGTGCCACCGGAGCGTGTCCGGGGGGTCTCTTGGCTGTGTTTCGGTAAGGGGCTGGACTGGTCGGCAGCTGCTTTGCTGCCCTGTGACTTCGAAGACCCTGGGAAGAAGCTGGTTTAATGGTGCTGGACGTAATGATTTCAGGATGTCCCTTTCTGTAGAGCAGGGTAGGATCCGGCACGGTGGCACAGCCTGGGAGCAAACAGGGCTTTCCAGTCCTCCTTCAGCCTTCCCTTTGCTTCCCACCTTCACTGCTCTGGTAGGAAAGCCACCATGTAGGGGACCTCCTGGGCTCTTTGTCCCCCTGTCAGGATCTTCTCTCCAGGCCTCCCATCCCCTTCTTAGGGCTCCTGAGAGTGAGCGGGGTCCCTGCGTTGCCCAGTGGGCACCATCCTCAGTCCTTGTGGTGTTAGATGCTGGATCTCTTTGAGTTCCTTTTACTAGCATGAGGAGGACCATGACTTGCACAGATTGCAAGTGACCTACCTAATACTTGTTGCCTGTTTAGTCTTTTTCTCCATCTTATTTTTCTCCCCCCTCCCATTTTTATTCAGGTTTCTTTTCAACCCCTCTTGTGCCTTTTGGCGGTCCTCCTCATCTCATGACTCTGGGCTTAATCCCCCGCTGACTCCAGTCAGGGCTGACTTGGGCTGGGCTCAGTTTCCCAGTGGCAGAAGCAAGCTCCCTCACTCCCTGTCAGCCCACCAGCGGTGACCAGTCTCTTGAAAGACTCCTGACGACTTGGGCTTGGCACTGGTAACCCCACGTGCCCGTCCGCTCCGCTGCTCATCCTGCGTGGCATCAAACCGTGGGTCCTGGTGTCAATCAGCAGAGACCCCTGCATGAAGAACGGCTGAAGAGGACTCAGGGCAACGTGGGATTTGCACAACTTTGGCTGATGGGCGTAGACATGAGTTGTTACAAGCTCCTTTTTTCCGCTCGGCTTTGAGAGCTCCTGGGCACCTCCACGCACGCCATCCTCCTGCGTCCCTGTGGGGCCCTTGCTGCCCAAACCTCTGATGTGAAGGGTGCTGCCTCTCCTCTGCCGCTGGCTGAGGGGCAGTTTGGGCATCTCCTGGGGCAGGCGGTGCCTTCCCTGGCCCAGGAAGGTGTTTGCCAGGGGTGGCCAGTACACCTCCCTCCGCAGCGGTTTCAGCTTTGGATGCCGGAGGTTGAGTCCCGGTGCAGGGCTCGGTGTCCGTGTGAGTGCTGTGGGGTTTTCCGCTTGTGTGTGAGTGCTGAGCATCAGCCTCCCTGACGCGTGCCTCTTGCGTTGCCCCGCCAGGTCCTCTCGAAAACGGGGGAACCGGCTGCCTTGCCGCGACCGGAGAGACCAGATCCCTTGCCGGTGGCCGGCGGTGTCCCCTGGGCCGCGCAGGTAGCTTAGTGACCCCACTGCCGCCTCACCCTGCCCCGCAACCCGCTTCTGAGTCGTGTTTTTTTTCTTTCTTTGCCCGGCTCCCCCCCGCTCCTTGCCCAAGGTAGGGAAGCCCAGCAGGAGCAAGCACAACACGCTGCCCGGCGGCACCCTGCAGATCCGCTCCCTCGGCAAGGATGACCATGGCGAGTGGGAGTGCGTCGCCACCAACATCGTCGCAAGCATTACTGCCAGCACCCACCTTACCGTCGTAGGTACGGGCAGGGCAGGGGACGGGTCCTTGGGGGACAGCCAGTGGCGGGTGCCTGGGTAGAGTCCCCCCAGGCGGTGTGTCGGTAAGGCAGGAGATGGGGATGCTCCCTGCGAAGAGCAGCGTCTCCTTTAAATGTTACTGACTGGTGGAGCTGCCTTTTTCTGCTCTGTTATTTTGGCCACCTGTGGACGCAGCTGTCCTGCTGCTATTTCTAGCAGAAATTCCAGGTGGCTTTTGCTTGGTGCAAGAGGAGTCCCTTCGAACCAAGGCTGGGAGCAGACTCCTTCCAGCCCCCTTGCCTTTGCTTGGCTAGTGCATGGTCTTGCTCCCCTTTAACCCATCCCTCTCTCTCCGCAGGCACAAGCCCTCACGCCCCGACCAGCGTGCACGTTGTGGTCGCTATGACCTCTGCCAATGTCTCATGGGAGCCCGGCTACGACGGTGGATACGAGCAGACTTTCTCAGTTTGGTACGGCCCTCTGTGAGTCATCCCGGCATGCTTTGCTCTCTGCTTCTTTTCTTTCCTAGCCGACCCGAGCTTCGAGCAGCTGGCGGGGAGGAGGGTGGTGAGGGGTGGCGTGCCCAGCTCTGTGCCTGTGGGTATTAAAGGGCTGAGCTCCTGTTTGGTGCCTCGGAGAGATGGGTGGTGGTGGGATCATATAGTTCCTGTATTTCCTCTCCCTTCTGTGCTAGCCAGTACCTCCGTCTGCCCCAGCAGGTTTTATTCTGCTTGTGGTACAAGGGAGATGCTTAGCATTCATGTAACTTTGCCTCTGGCATCTAATTTCAAGATAAACTGTTTATGAAGCTTAACAGCCAGGGAGAGGATGGAAAATGCGACCTTTATAGAGTGCGTCCTGGAAGAGCTGTGACTAAGCAGAAATGATCTCTCCTTGCTCTGCGGCTCCCTGGAGGTGGTTAAATCCCAGCTGAGTTCACAACCAGCCACTGTGAGATGCTGGCCGGGTCTGAGCCTTGTAGGGCTTTGCTCCCATCGCTCCTGTGCCAGCCTGCGCTACCCGGTACCCAAAGCCAGTGGTTGCGTCCTGCCTTCCCGCAATCGGGCTGGGCTTGTCCCTGCAGGCTTTCCCCCAGGGCAGGGGAGGGTGAAATTTTAGCTGCAGCGAGGTTGGGGTTTTCTTTGGGCTCTGCACTTGCTCTTGTCCTCTTCCTCTTCTGAAGAGCTGTCCTTGCAAACGTGGAGGGGATGATGCCTTCCCTTCCCAGGCCCGGGCTGGCATTCTTCAGCCTTTGTTCTGGCTCTCTCTTTCCTTCCTTGCCTTAATTTGCCCCGATGGAGACTGCTGATAGGGTGGACGCTGCCTGTAATGATTTCTGCTGTGCTCTAGCCCGAGGCTGGACACTTGTGGGGTGGGGCTGGACAGTCTGTTGGGAGATGGAAAGAAGAAGGAATGGAGCGAGCAGAGGGGAAAAAAATGAGGGAGCGAGCAGAGCGGTGCAGACCTTGCTCTGATGAAAATGTCCTTGGGAAGGAGTGGTTAAACCTCTCTGCTCTGGAGACATGGCTCACCTTGGAGGGAGGTGGCAGCTGCTGCTGCTCTTGCTCTGCAGCCTGCTGCTGGGTTCCTGCCTCCTCAAGGCTCTTCCAGACGCCACACCGGGGAGAGCAGCCAGCGGCAGGGAAGGATGTTTGCTCTAAGCTTGCCTTAGGTAATTTACAGGGTGCAGTGGGGACCTGGGGTAGGGAGACAGAGACCTGTTCTTGCCCTGACTGTACGGTGTGAGCCCTGGAGGCTGTGGGACCAGGGATGCTAGCCATCCATGTGTTTTCCTCCCTGCTGTGGCTATGGGATGCTCAAGCAAAACATGGCTTCGCCCCCTGTGGAGTTCATGCTCTCCTCCCGCTTCTGCTGCTGTTGATGCTGGAAATGCAAACCCTGCTCCCCAGGGATGGCCAGGGCCACCGCAGCATCCCACCTGTGTACACGCTCTCCCTCGGCAAGGGTGGTCTCCCATCCCCGCGCTGCATTTACCCTCCTTTCTCCCCACCCTCAGCCCCTTTGCCATTGCGTGCCTGCCCGCAGCAGCGCTGGGGAGAAGGGATGTGAATGTGGTGGGGTTAAATGCTGCAAGGAAAACCTGCTCTGGGTGACAGGCTGCTCCGCTGCCCTCCATGCCTCCACTGTGGTGGCGAGGGATCCTGGCAGCTGTAGTCCCAGCTGGAGCCGCGGTGATACAGAAACTTTCCTGCCCGTAGCCACTCAGTTTGGTGGAGGCACGCTGCACGTGCATGGCTCTCTGCCGACTTGCTTGTTTCCATAGCTTGCTGCTGCTTTTCCTGCCTCACCTTTTGCTCCCTTTACAGTGGCATTATTTGTCTTTGCTCCATCTTTTACTTTCTATGCGATGGATTTACCTGGCTGTATGCCAGTGGCTACAGATATGCCCACTTACCTATGCAGAATAGACTGTCTGCAGTAATCCTTCCCAAATCCTCTGCGGACACCACTGAAACCTGCAGCCAAGGGCTGGGACTTCCTAGAGCATCTCTCTAACGTGGGCACCGATACTTGCAATATCGTTGCAGCGCAGTGACGCTGCTTCGGGACATGGGGCTCTTTGACTGTGCTGATTCCCGGCGGGGTTATGGGTTGTGGGGGTGGCTGCACGCTCGTGCGTGCTGGGGTCGCACTGGGGCGGCTCTGGGAGCTTTTTTTTGCCCTGGGTTTGAGGGTTATAGACCCCTGCAGAAAGGCTGTGTCCTGTGCTCCCCGCAAGTGCCTCTGCTGCACTGCCAAAACCCCAAGTTATGCCCTAGGCTGTGCTGGCGGCCCCCGACTTGTGCAAATATGGAAGAAATGGTGATTTAGTTAAATGTTTCTTGGGGAATTGCATGTACGGGGCTACAGCTGAGGGAAAACTTGGCTCTGGCTTGGGAGCTGTCAAGGTATAAATGGGAACAGGGCCCATCTCCTGCTCCAGCCGTCCCCTTTGCAGCACTCACCGGAGTAAAAATGCGGCAGCTTCCACTTTTGCCCATGGGAATCTGATGGACATAACCTCAGAGTGGGGCTGTTGGGCACCGCCTTTGTCCCTGACCCTGCTCAGAGGGTGCGGGTGGTGCACGGCAGAGGGGAGGGCTGGTGACAGTGTCCATATGAGTCGGGGGATGCTGGTGTGGCACAATGGGATGGTGCCATGTGCCTGGCAGTCCTCACGTGCGCTGTCCCCAAGCCAGCTCTTGGCTGGCAAGCGGCTGCCCCACGTCCATACACATTGCTGCTGTCAAACCAAATCATTGCTCGGGAAAGCTCCATTTTCGCTTGAGAAGTTAATGCTGCCTCTTTGTCCTCCCTGTCAAAGGCACCTTCCCTGAGGAGGATCCTCCCTTTTCTCTCCGCAGGATGAAGAGAGCCCAGTTTGGCCCCCACGACTGGCTGTCTCTCCCTGTGCCAGCTGGTTCCAGTTGGCTACTGGTGGATACCTTGGAACCCGAGACTGCCTACCAGTTCAGCGTCTTGGCTCAAAACAAGCTGGGCACCAGCTCCTTCAGTGAGGTGGTCACTGTGAACACTCTAGGTAGGTCCTCCGTGGGCACAAGGGGAGGAGGGGGAAGGGATTCAGGGGGTCCATGGGGAGAAGTGGCCTTTTCCCTTGGTCCGTGTGTCCTATCTGCTGGGGACAGAGATGGTGATCAGCAGCAGTAGTTTCTGGCTGCGTAGACGATAGTTTGTGGAGGGTCCTGGATGAAGCTTATAGACTTTGCTGGATGCATGAGGCTCCTGAAAGCTTGTCCTAAGAGACAGCTTAGGAGAACTGTGCTGTACCAGTCACCTTTCAGATCTTCCTTAAGTTCAGCTGGGGTCAGAAGGTATTATTAGAGCACAAAATCACTTGCATGCAGCTCAGAGCGGGAGCTAACACAAAGGGCCTTGCACTGGTACCTGCCTTGGGGCTGTCTCAGGAGGAAGCAGGAGGTTTTCTAACGCTGTGCCCCTTTTTCTTGGAGTCACTGCATCATTAGTCCCCTGCTTTTTGGAAAGCCACTTTCATATCTCTGAGATAAGAGCACACGTCTGAGATGTGCCCTAAACTCCTGAAAGGTGGGACCTGCCGCTGCTGCGGTGGTCCATCTGCCGCTGATGGGGCACACGTAGGAGAGCATCTCTTGCCCTGTCTCAAAGGTGTCCTCTGTCCCATCTGCTCTGTCTGCAGCATTCCCTGTAACAACTCCAGAGCCTCTGGTGTTGGTTACCCCACCGAGGTGCCTAACAGCCAACCGGACACAGCAAGGCGTCCTCTTGTCGTGGCTTCCTCCCGCTAACCACAGCTTCCCCATTGACCGCTACATCATGGAGTTCCGCGTCGCGGAGAGGTGGGAGATCTTGGATGATGGTATCCCGGGGACCGAGAACGAGTTTTTTGCCAAGGACTTGTCCCAGGTAAGCAGGGGCTGCCCACACCATACCTCTGGTGTTGCACCATCTGCTGCAGCTCTGGGGAAGCTTTTGGGGTGGCTCGGTCCCCGTGCTGGGATCTTCAAGGAGCTGGGTAAGGTTGGAGGCTGTGGCGGGGAACCTGACGGATGTGCTTGGTGTTTCAGGACACCTGGTACGAGTTCCGGGTCCTGGCGGTCATGCAGGATCTCATCAGCGAACCCAGCAACGTTGCTGGCGTGTCCAGTACAGGTAAGGGATGGCTCCTTCTTCTCCCCCCAGCTGTGGGAGCATCTCTGCTTCTGCAGGCACCTAAGCTAGCGCTCAGGTCATGCATCAGTACTTGCTTACGCCAGCGATGGCTGGTTTTGTGCTTTTGCCTGAGACGCTGGGGCTGTGAGCTGGGCTGATGGGCATACGGTTAAGATTGGTGTCCTGGACACGCTGCTGGCCCCGTGCTGCCTCCTGATGCAAACGGACCAGCAGCACTCGGAGCGGGCGAGGACAAACTGCCCCATTTAGTCCTTCCTGTGGAGCGCAGCGTTGTCGGGCATCCGCTGCTGCAGAGTGGCAGCACATTTCAGCTCTGCGGGGTGCCCAGAGAACAAAGCTCTGGCCGGGCACTGCGCAGCCTGGAAATGGGAATGAAAGGTGCAGAGAGGGAAACATAGCACTGCAGTGCAGAGTCCAAAGGGGAAAAAAAGCTTTGCAACAGGAGACTGCAACACGCTGCAGCTCGTGCATGTACCCTGCACCCCGGTCCAGCCTGGAGGATGCTTCTCGAGCAGGGGACAGGCGAGGGTACGTGCTTGCGATGGAGAAGGCAAGGGCAGCAGGGAGGAGATGGGGATGCGGCGAGCGAACCCTGCTTTCGTGGCTCTCTGGAAAAGCTGAGGAGCCACCCAGCTCTGCTGCACGCAGGAATGCAGCAGTCTCTCTCTGCCCCCAAGTGGTGCTGGCACGGTGCGGAGAGCCTGCCTGCTGCAGACTGCCTGCTTGCTTGCCCTTGCTCCTCTTGCACAATTTTTCTGATGGGGTTTGGCAGTGCCCGCAGGGCGTGCGTGCACCCCAGCCCCAGGCAGCTGCCCTCCCAGGCTGGCGAAAGCGTGCTGAGCCTGCATGCGAGCGCACGGCAGGAACGCTGTTGTGTGCGGGGTTTGCATCTGCAAAGGGCCGCAGCTGAGGTTTGCTGGTGGTTCGGATGCGCTGGTGGTCAGCGAAGGGCCGTCATGAGGGTTTGGAGCCCAGTGTTCATTGAAAAGCTGAAATGAAGCACTGACGAACAGGGTAAAATACCTTGTGCTGCTGCAGTGGGTTATTCGGCCAGGAGATAACCGCAGGTTTGGTGCAGTTGTGTGTGCTTGTACATAAGTCCGTATTTGTGTGGCATGGAGGCTTCTTCCCTGGGGGTCTATCAGCTAAGACAAAAAGGTTTACCTGGTGCAAGGTTGCTAAATCCCTTGGCAGTGGCCTGCAGCAACGCTGACCGCTCTCCCCAGGTTGGAAGCAGGGTCTTTACTTAGAGATTATCATTCCTGGTACCGGTTGCCTTCACTACTGTGGTAGGTCCCTGGGGAAGGCAGCAGGCAGGGGTGTGTGCATAACACCTAATTGTCGTGGTTTTCCCCCAGACGTATTCCCTCAGCCTGACCTGACAGACGAGGGTCTAGCCCGCCCGGTGCTGGCTGGTATCGTTGCCACCATCTGCTTCCTGGCTGCTGCCATCCTCTTCAGCACACTCGCCGCCTGCTTCGTCAACAAGCAACGCAAACGCAAGCTCAAGCGCAAGAAAGGTGAGCCGGTCGCCGGTGTGCTTGCTTCCTCCCTCCCGCCTCCTCCTCGTTTCTCCTCCCTGGTTGTGTTGTGGTGGTAACCTTCTTCCCTGTCTGTCTCTTCTTCCGTCCATGCGCGTCCTCAGGTGAAGCCCTGACTTCATCCCTCGGCTGTGCCTGAAAGCGCCCGTGGTCGGGAGCGGGAGAGGCAGGGTGGGTGAAGAGGCGACAGAGAAACTAGCCTGGGATTTCCGAGGGAGCGCTCTCGCGTGGTGATAACTCCTAGAGCCGGGGGTTTAGGGCCGGGGTGTCCTCTGGGCCAGAGATGGTGGGGGGGACCGCTCAACTCCTCAAGGTCCCCCCAGAGCTGGGCTCTCCAGCTGCTTCTCGCCCAGCTCTGCCCAACCCGGAGCGGGCAGTGCCCGATGGCCGCGCTAGGCTAGAGAAGACCCCTGCAAAGGAGACCCTGCTGCTCTGCTTCCCGAAAGCTGGGACTGCAGCCGCCATGTAGGAGCGGCCGTTAGGGAAAAGGGCGGCTGGGGAGCCGGAGAGGGCAGGGGAATTGGCTCCTTCTCTAGCCTGCGAGACTGCGGCAGTAGGACGGGCAGGACCCTGTGACGGGAGCTGTTTGTTGTCAGCAACCATTAAAGCGCTGGAGCAATGAAACCTTGGCCTCTTGTTGAGTGTCTTTTGTTGTCTTGATGTTGAGTTTGTCTTGTCTCTGTTGTGTTGCGCCTCCTTAGTGTTCTCTCTTCTTTCCCCTTTTTATTCTCTTCCAGACCCTCCTCTCTCGATAACCCACTGCAGGAAGAGTTTGGAGTCCCCGTAAGTATCTGTCTTAGCTGCAGCACCAGGCTGTGGGTCTTCAAGGTGCCTCCTTCCTACAGTTGTTGCAAGGCTCAAATGGAAATGTCTGACCTTGTTTGGTTGCTTCTGATGAGTTGTTTTGGGTTTTCCCTGAACTTGTGGGAACACAACGGTTCACAGGAGACAAACGGGCTTTGGAGCAGAAAGCAGCAGGGACAAATGCAGCAAACTGTAAGCTAAGAGATGACCCCGTTGGATCTGTGAACATTGACCAAAGGTGGAGCTGACCGCTGGAACTCAATTACACACCCAGCTTGAAGGGGCTCCTTAGGAGAAGGGCTGGTCTGCTGCATACAGAGTCCTTCGTACAAGCTCAGTGTAGTTTTTGGGTCGTTCTCTGTTGGCTCTGGTTTTTCTCGGGAAATTCAGAGAATCTTACATCGGTATCTTTTTCTTTTCCCATGAAGCGTGCCCTGCTGAAGCCTCTTTCCACACGTGCCCAAAGGTGGTGGTTCATGCTGCTGCAGTAGCCATAGCTCCTTGCAGAGCCCATCAAAAGCATGTATAGCTGCTAATGAATGGGAGCATCTTCCCGATGTGAGCGCGAGAGTTTGAGATGTGGACGCCTGATGCTTTGGCTCCTGGACCATTGCAAAATCTCCTTCTGCTGGTGGATCTTAATCTTGCTTTTTTTTTTTTCGGTTTATCCACTGCACTGAAATAACCATGCCTGCACTGTCTGTGTTGGATCTGCTACCGTTTGCCTTTCAATCCTGTTTGTCCGAGGCTTTTGGATAGGGATGAGTGATGCTTTCTGCCTTTTGAGGCCCTCAGCCTTAAGTGTAACTGTTGAGAACAGGAGAAAAAGTTGGTCTGAAATGATCCATCAGCATCTCCAAGTGAGATGCTGAGTTCTGCGGGAGGGGACGTTTGCCTGATGTCCCTCCTCTGGGGGGGCTTTCCTGGGCATGGATAGCTCAGGTGAACATAGGAAACCTTTGAAGGATTTGGAAGTGGGCTCTGGATCTGTCTTTTGTCCTGCTGGGGCTGCAGAGCTTGTTGCAAGGCGTTGGGAGAGCTTGTTGCAAGGCGTTGGTGGAGCTTGTTGCAAGGCGTTGGTGTGAGCTGCCTGCCCTGGGGGGGGATGCTGAGCGTGCTGAGCTCCGCTCCTGAGGAGCGGGGATGACGTGTGCTGCTGCTGGTCCTCTGGCCTGTGCCGCGGCCGGGCAAGACTCTGCCGTCCCGGCTAGCCCCCGCAATTCTCTCCCAGCGGTTCCTCTTTCGGGAGCTGGTAGCACTTTATTTTCCGGATCTGACCGGCGGCTCTTCTGGGTGAGGAGACCTCCTTTCCCCTCCGGGTGACCGTCCCCTCTCTCGGTTTTTCTCCCCTGTGGTCCAGGTTGTCTTCCGGCAAGGTGAGTCCCGAGAGCATCCGCACCCTCCGTCCCCCCTCGGAGTCCTCTGACGACCAGGGCCCGCAGGCCAAGCGGATGCTGAGCCCCACCAAGGAGAAGGAGCTCTCCCTTTACAAGAAGACCAAGCGAGCCATCAGCAGCAAGAAGTACAGCGTCTCCAAGGCGGAGGCCGAAGCCGAGGCCACCACTCCCATCGAGCTCATCAGCCGCGGGCCGGACGGCCGCTTCGTCATGGACCCGGCGGAGATGGAGCCGTCCCTGAAGACGCGGCGGATCGAGGGCTTCCCCTTCGTGGAGGAGACGGACATGTACCCCGAGTTCAGGCAGTCGGACGAGGAGAACGATGACCCCGTCGTCCCGGCCTCGGTCACCGCCCTGAAAGCTCAGCTCACCCCTCTCTCCTCCAGCCAGGAGTCCTACCTTCAGCCACCAGCATACAGCCCCCGGTTCCACCGGGCGCTGGAGGGTCCCGGCGCCCTGCAGGCCACCGGCCAGGCCCGCCCGCCGGCCCCCCGGGCTTTCCACCACCAGTTTTACGGTTACCTCAGCAGCAGCAGCCCCGGGGAGGTGGACCCGCCGCCCTTCTACATGCCAGAAGTCAGCCCGCTGAGCTCGGTCATGTCCTCCCCGCCGCTGCCCCCCGAGGGGCCCTTCGGACACCCCACCATCCCCGAGGAGAACGGGGAGAACGCCTCCAACAGCACGCTGCCCCTGGCCCAGACCCCCACGGGGGGCCGGTCCCCCGAGCCCTGGGGCAGGGCCGAGTTCCCCTTCGGCGGCCTGGAGCCGGCCCCCGCGCCGTTCCCCCACCAGCTCCAGCCCTGCGAGGCGGCCGAGGGCTCCCAGCCCGCCGGTTGCCTTCCTCGGGGGCCGCCCCCCTCCTCCCTCCAGGTGGTCCCCGCGTCCTACCCGGGCATCCTGCCCCTGGAGGCACCAAAGAGCTGGACCGGCAAGTCGCCCGGCAGGGGCCAACCCTCTGTGCCCACCACCACCAAGTGGCAGGACAAACCTATGCAACCCATGGGATGTCAAGGGCAGCTAAGACATACCAGCCAAGGTATGGGCATACCCGTGTTGCCTTACCACGAACCGTCCGAGCCCGTCGGCCCCAGCGGCGCAAGCACATTCGGCCTGGACACCAGGTGGTACGAGCCCCAACCCCGACCTCGGCCCAGCCCTCGGCAGGTCAGGAGGGCCGAGCCCAGTTTACATCAGGTGGTGCTACAACCTTCGAGGCTTTCTCCTCTGACCCAAAGCCCCCTCAGCTCCCGCAACAGCTCCCCGGAGCTGACCGCCCGCGCCCGGCCCCGGCCGGGCCTCATCCAGCAGCAGGCGGAGGTGTCGGAGATCACCCTGCAGCCCCCGGCGGCCGTCAGCTTCTCCCGCAAGTCCACGCCGTCGACGGGATCCCCCGCGCCCAGCAGCCGGGGAGGCAGCCCCAGCTACCGACCTACCGCCGCCTTCACCTCCCTGGCCACCGGCTACTCCGGCTCCCAGGGCTCCTCCCTGCCCGTGGACACCATGGACGTCTTCGGAGACATCCCCTCTCCCAGGAGGGCCGGCGAGGAGATTCTGCAACCGGAGCCGACATCCACCACGGTAGCCGCCACGGGGGAAGTGCGTGAGGCCCC